CTCCAGATATTTTCTCTTCATAAATTTAAACACACATTTTCCTACCTGACTTCATACTCCCAGTCCCGGAACATCCGATCCCTTCCCAGCATCTCCACTCAAGATACTTGCCAGGGAACAAACACATCAGAGGCAGCCCTCCCCTGCCCCTGCCAACTCCCAAGGTTTTTCACTTCATTAAAAAGAAGGTGGCTCTGTGGGGGCAGGGATCAATCATGTCTGTCTTACTTGCCAGGCTGACCTAGCAGAGGTTCTCAGTAAATATTTGTTGAATGAATTCAATGACTTTAGAGGTTTGCAAGTAACCATCCCTCCCCATCCCCCAGCCCCTGACTCCAGGTCATCCATACGAGATCCAAAATGTGCCTTCAGGCTCATTTCTCCATTAAGATGGGCTTCGCATAAGCTTTCAGGCCCAGGCTTCTCACAGTACTAGAGTGTAAATGAATCCAGGGCTGGGGTCCTTGTCCTTGGGCCATGCACACTTCTGAGTCTGCATGGGTTGGTGGTGACAGCTGAACACGGTCTTCTACTTGGATTCTTTGTCCATATGCACTGTGACCTTCAAGTCCTGTGGATCCACACCTGGCCCTCTGGTAATCTGTGGTCAGGTTTGCTGTGACTGCTCATGAGAATAGTTCATGAGGGGCTAATTTCATGAGAACAGAGAGCAGGTCTGACCAATCAGTGCAAGCTGAGCACAGTGCCTGGCACACAGTTGATATGTCAATTAATACATCTATGTTTGCCAGCTCTATCTGCTTCTGCTGGACATGTCTGTCTGTTCTGGCTTTCTTGCCCTCCTGGCAACCAGACAGGATAGAATGGGACTCCAGGTCCTGACCTGGAGCCATCATTAATATGACAGGAGCCATCATTAGTATGTGTGACACTGCATTTACATTTCAACAGAGATACTTCTAAGCCATTTCTTGGGGGTGGCTGACAAATTCACTGTCACATTTCCCCAGAAGGGATAGTTACACATTCTGGATTTGTGGAGATTTCCCAGGAGAGAGTATGTTACAGGACTCAGGTCCGCTGCCTGCCCCTTTGAAAAGGAAAGAAAAAAACTCAGAAGTCAAATGGTTGGTGTTAGAAAAGCAGATGTATTCAGCTGAAGGAGATAGTAGGCTATACCATCTCAAAGGTTTACATTTATTGAGGGGTTTTTAAAGGAAGGGTTGAGGGAATGGAATGTGGGAGGTGAAAAGCAGGAGAAGTGAGTTACTAAGGGTCCATGTCTGTGAATCAGGTACAAGGTCTCGCCAAGGCCTCATCTGGTTTCTGTTCTCATCTTTTTTTTTTTTCCTTTTTTGTTTTTTTTACTGACCGGTAACAGGATCGCAACCCTCGGTGTCGCACCCGTACCGGGGACCGGCGACGGGATCACAACCCTCGGTGTTGCGCCCGTACAGCACTCAGCCAGTGAGCGGGAACCGGTCTCCACATGGGATCCGAACCCTCCACAGGAGTGCCGCCACGCTCCCAAGTGGCGCACTCTCCGGTGTGCCACCGGGCCGGCCCTCTGTTCTCATCTTTGCTGTTATCTCAGGGCCCTGCAAGATTTTGATTTGTGCCAGTGTACTTGACTAGTGCCCAATGTCAGCTCCCAGTCATTTGGCCGTGATCATTTCTCAAAACTCTACGAGTCTCAAAGAACTGTTAGCTTTGCAAAGTACTAATTAGTTTCTCGGCCTTGTTTTCCTACTTAGTGNTTCTAAGCCATTTCTTGGGGGTGGCTGACAAATTCACTGTCACATTTCCCCAGAAGGGATAGTTACACATTCTGGATTTGTGGAGATTTCCCAGGAGTGGGTATGTTACAGGACTCAGGTCCGCTGCCTGCCCCTTTGAAAAGGAAAGAAAAAAACTCAGAAGTCAACTGGTTGATGTTAGAAAAGCAGATGTATTCAGCTGAAGGAGATAGTAGGCTATACCATCTCAAAGGTTTACATTTATTGAGGGGTTTTTAAAGGAAGGGTTGAGGGAATGGAATGTGGGAGGTGAAAAGCAGGAGAGCAGGAGAAGTGAGTTATGAGGGGTCCATGTCTGTGAGTCAGGTACAAGGTCTCGCCAAGGCCTCATCTTTTTTTTTTTTTCCTTTTTTGTTTTTTTTACTGACTGGTAACGGGATCGCAACCCTCAGTGTTGCACCCGTACCGGGGACCGGCAACGGGATCGCAACCCTCGGTGTTGCGCCCGCACAGCACTCAGCCAGTGAGCAGGAACCGGTCTCCACATGGGATCCGAACCCTCCACAGGAATGCCACCACGCTCCCAAGCGGCGCACTCTCCGGTGTGCCACCGGGCCGGCCCTCTGTTCTCATCTTTGCTGTCATCTCAGGGCCCTGCAAGATTTTGATTTGTGCCAGTGTACTTGACTAGTGCCCAACGTCAGCTCCCAGTCATTTGGCCGTGATCATTTCTCAAAACTCTACAAGTCTCAAAGAAAGAACTGTTAGCTTTGCAAAGTACTAATTAGTTTCTCGGCCTTGTTTTCCTACTTAGTGAGCGAGATAAGAAAGTCAGGGGATGGGAAGGAAGAATGAAGACAAAAAACTGCCCTTTTATTTTATTTTATTTTATTTTTCCTTTTTGTCTTTTTTTGTGTCCGGCAACGGATCGCAACCCTCAGTGTCGCGCCCGTACCGGACCGGGACCGGCAACGGTATCACAACCCTCAGTGTCGCACCCGCACCTCGCTCAGCCAGTGAGCGGGAACTGGTCTGTATGTGGGATCCGAACCCTCGGCGGGAGCGCCACTGCGCTCCCAAGCAGCGCACTGTAGCAGTGCACCACCGGGCCGGCCCCAAAACTGCCCTTTTAAAAATCCCCCCCGCCCCCGTGCAGCCCAGGCAGCTTTAGGTCCCAACATGGCTTCAGTCCTGCTCACTCCAACAGGTAGAGTTATGAACTCTTAAATGTTGCTTTGCCTCCCACGGATTTGTCACCCTTTTTCCCTGGGTGATGTAGCCACAAAAGATTACTCAAAGCCCATCTCTTCTGAGCAGTGAGAAGCCCCAAAGTGGTTAATCTCCTGGAACCCTCAAGAGAGAGGCATTCCTTCCATTTGGGAAATTAACCACAAATTGGGGTTCTCTTCCTGCATTTATTCTCCAGATGAGGAACTTATAGGAAGGAAACATAGGTGGGGGTTATATTTTAACAATATAGACTGGTAACATTCAGTAAAACAAGCCAGATGACATTCCATAAGGCAATTTAAGTGATCCACCAACAAAAGCTTGATCTTAGCAAACGTTCCTTCTCCCTACACAGCATCCCAGTATCATTACATATCAATCAGTAACTTGTCAGTCTTTGAACCTGCAGCCTTGCTGTGTTACAAGTCTTTATTTCACAACAGAGACTATATAGCCTGGGGAAAATTTTCCATTTTTGCAAGGTCATCATTTTATATGTACTTTTAAGAAGTTAGACTAAACCTGAAAGTACAAGAAACTAGGCCCTGTGAAATATATTTGCTTTACAGTATACTCCACACTTAAATCTGAAGGAGCATAGAGGATGGTTGATTCTGGAAGGAGGTTGAAT